AGCCTTCCTCAAGGTCGCGCAAGACCGTATGAGTGAAGCCCAGGAGCGCATGAAGCATTATTACGACAGGAACAGACTTGTCCAAGACTTCAAAACTGGCGACATGGTGCTACTAGACTGAAAGAATTTGGATATCCGTCATAAGGGGTACGCACAGTCGAAGAAGTTAGCTCCGAGGTTCATTGGGCCATTTCCGGTCCAGATGAAGGTATCTCATGACTCGTATGAGTTAGGATTATCGAAGAGCCTGAAGTTGCATCCAATTTTCCATACGTCACTGTTGAAACCGTACCGCAAAGATCTAAAGCGCCGACAGAAGGTGAATATGGTTGTGCTAGGCGATGGAACGGAAGGACAACTGGTTGAAGCTGTGATTAACCACCGCAAGTGCAAAGGAACAAGATTTGGCGGCTCGGTGAAACGAAGAAGGATACAACATGGGAACTAGTTGAGAACCTCAAACAGATCCCAGGACTCATCGACCTCTATCGGAAATCCAAGAAAAGAGAGAAGCCTTTTTAGGAGGTGGTGCTTTCTTTAAAGGAGGTCATGTGACGTAGTGGTCAATACAGCCACTACGCCCAAATTTTAAGATCAGCTGGCTAGATTATTCTGGCTCAGCATAATCTTGAATTATCACGTTTTCATATGTCTACGAGTCTATTGGCTATATGTGATTGCAGTTGCCACTTCAACAATTCTTATACGTCTTATCATTGGATGTAAATCCTCAGGATTGGCAACATTCCAGTTACCATCCGGATATTGTGATTATGGGACGCTATGGGAAAATTCTGGCCCAGCCACGCCGAGGCTTCGCAGGATTTCATTGGCAGAGGAATATAACAGCAGAATTTGAGAAAGATAGTTTTTAGGATAGGACCTGGATACTTGGGTGCATGTCTAGTCACCCAAGATCGTTGGTTGCAAGACAACTACTTCCTTTGGCTGAGAATGATTACACGAATGCTTTATGCCAGTGCTAGGTTTTTTTAACGGGTGTGACAAAAGTGATTATATAAGTGTATCGTGTTGAAGAGGTAATAGTTTTGCGCCGAAAAGAAGCACACTATCACGATGACTCTGCTGCAAGACGCTTATTGCGCGCTGATACAACGCCGCATCGCACTGCAGAACTCTAGGTACCGTAAAACTTATGTGCAAACGGACGTTGGCCATTTACGGACACCTTGACAGTGACCAATCAGCGATCGATTCGATCACAGTACAA